TGCCCAATTTTCATACAACCTGCAACGCAGTGAATCGACCGGGAGGAGCCCTTTCGAACTTGCAACGGGGCAGCAGCCTAACACTCCTCAGTCTTTGCCCACGAGTGCAGAATTAAGGAACCCAGGGGCGTTTCATATGGCAAAAGCTTGGGAGGAGCAAATGGATATGGCAAGGGCTTACTTAGATAAGGCTGCCCGCAAGATGAAAAAGTTTGTTGATCGTAAGAGGTGTCCGGTGAACTACAGAATTGGGATAAAGTGATGGTTAAACTCAATCCCCGACAGTTCAAATCATTGAGAGGTGTCAATCAAAACTTGATTCGGCGCTACGAGGGGCCATTTGAAATCACTGCCAAGGTTGGCAAGATTTCTTTTAAGCTGGACATGCCTCATCACTTGAAAATCCATCCCGTCTTCCATGCTAGCCAGCTCAAGCCATATTAAGAAGACAAGGATGATGCGGAACGGGGGCAGTCCAGCCGTGCCCAAATTTTCATCACACCTTCTGCCCTTGACAAAAAAATTGAGGCGATCATTGATCACCAACTAGTCCGAGGCAAAGGCTGGGGCAACTCAAGTGCCCAATTTCTTGTTCATTGGAAGGGACAATCACCGGAGGAGGCATCATGGGAAAAGTACGAGGATCTATGGCAGTTCAAAGATCAAGTCCATGATTACTTGAACCTTTGTGGCGCCGCGGTCGTCGCCATTTCAAGTGGGGGAGAGTGTGCCGACCCGCTAAATTCGNATTACTGATTTTGCCGCCTACAGGGCCACAAACCGAGTCAAACCTGAATCATGGCAGCCACCCTCTGCCAACAAAGACAAGTGCTGCACAGCTGTCAGGGCCACAACCTAGCAACACAATCATAGGAGCCAATCTGGGCCAGCAGGAATTAGGGCCCAGCAGTTGGACGGGGCCACAGGCAGGAAATCTGCCAACATAATGATGGAGGCCACTTAGGGCAGTGCCTCACAGCTGGACGGGTCTATTGCCCACCAGTGGAAAGTTTTGTATATAAATAGGCATACTTAGGCCTTGTTGGAAGGCATCTCATATACACTTTGTATTTTCCCTTTGTTTATCAAGTAAATCAAAAAATTGGCCTTGGCCTCCCAATCTTTGTGTGTCTTTCATTTCATTGTCTTTCCAGCCTTTGTGTGTGTTTGCCTTAGCTTGAGCACGACTTTGTGCTTGCTATTTTGTTAGGACTGAGACTAGAAGCAGATAACAGCTGTCTAGTTGTCCGCACGTAGCTTACTGGAGTTAAGCTCGTGACAAGTGACCCTGCCGAAATTTTGAAAAATGAATTTTTTTTCTTTTTTATAGTTTGATTTATTTGAAAAAACAAAAGAAAGGAGTCTTGTTTACAAGTTTATGTTGGGCGAACTACGCCGGTTTGATTCTCATAGGGCGTTAGATACGTAGGCAACCGTTATTTTCGGCAGAGAGAATGATCAATTTACTTTTTACGTTCCAGTATGTATAATTTATTAGAATCTTGTGCTTAAATCTCCACCATAATAGTCTTTGAAAGAAAGAGATAAAACAAATCAAGAGATATAGATCGATTAATACATTTGATGGTTCTGAGGAGCGGCCTGTNCTACCTTTGATGGTTCTGAGGAGCGGCCTGTAGCGGCTCTAAAGAAGGTACTGCTATGATGTATTTCTTCCTATACTTTTTGCTTATTATATGACTAGTTTCTGGACACGTGTATCCCATGCTAATTATACAAATATTTCAAGATGGTATATATTTTATGATGATTCTTTTTTTTTACAAGTATAGAAAGCTGGAGAAGAACACTTTTATATCAATAAAGTATAACAAATATTGGTAAACCATAATGTATAATTGTATATATTGGCACAAATAATAACTTTAAATTTCTTCCCGTATGCATCTACAAGAAACATTATCAAATAACATTACGGTTTCATTTCTTCCCGCGCGCAAGGGCCATATCTACCTAGAAGTAAATTACATTGAAAAAAAAATAACTCTTCCCCTAATTTTAGTATCAAGAATAAATGAGGGAATATCTTTGTAGAATTCCTTCAAGAATAAATAATGATAAATAGAAAGAAGCAGTAAATAACTTTAAAAAAAAGAAGAGATGTACCGTTACTTACCAAAATAAAAAGAGAAATATGATTTTACTTTTAGTAATGGTCATGATCCCATGCAAAAGAAATTGTCAAAAGGACAACACAAGATGCATTTTGAACCTATAATTTATACCTCATCCCTTGCACTCAAGAGACAAAATTGCAGCGGATGAAGTGACTGCAAAAGGAAACATTTTTACCAAACAACAAAAGCAAGTAATACAGCAATAACAATAGCAAAAACTAAAAACAAAATTGTCAGGGAAGAAAAAAGAAAACTAAAATAAAAGGCTGATATGAAATGCCCTAAAAAATTAAATGAAAATAAAAGTAAAGTATAAAACATATATTAAACGCCCAATAAAATTGACCATCTGGTGATAGCTTCATGCTTCACGCCCCATGATTTTTTAGCAATATCATAGGTCCAACTAACAACGAGCATGCTTGATCATAGTCATTTGACAGTCCTTCATACCAACACACAGAACTAATGGCTCTCTCATAAAAAATTAATCAATAATAATAAGAATACATAACAACAACTACCTAGTAAAATCCCACAAAGTGGGGTCTGGGGAGGGTAATGTGTACGCAGATCTTATCCCTACCCCGATAGGGAAGAGAGGTTGTTTCCGATAGACCCTCAGCTCAGAAAGACGAAAAATAAAAATAATAATAATAAAACAAGAAAAGACAATTCATTAGTAACTCCAGTAGAAACCGTAATAGTAACAGAAGCATAACAACCAAAAAGATAAATGACATGCAATAACAGTAACCAGTAACTAAGGCCCGAGGCTAAGATAAATAGCAAGGATAGTGTGGATTCAACATAAACCGCAAGCCATCTAAGATCAACCCTAATCCAACCCCGCCTCACCCCCGGTATGAAGTAAGGAAAGCTCTACTACCCCCTAACCTACAATCCTAATGCTTGACCTCCAAACCTTCCTATCAAGGGCCATGTCCTCAGAAATCTGCAGTCGAACCATGCCCTACCTAATCACCTCTCCCCAATAATTCTTAAGCCTCCCTCTACCTCTTCTCGTACCCACCACGGCCAACCGCTCACTCCTCCTCACCGGAGCATCAAGGCTTCTCTTCCGCTCCGCACGTGCCCGAACCATCTAAGCCTCGCTTCCCGCATCTTGTCATCCACAAGGGCCACGCCCACCTTCTTCCGAATATCTTCATTCCTAATCTTGTCTATCCTAGTGTGCTCGCACATCCACTTCAGCATCCCCATCTCTGCTACCTTCATCCTCTGGATATGGGAGTTCTTAACCGGCCAACACTCTGCCCCATACAACATGGCCGGTCTAACCACAACTCTATAAAACTTACCTTTGAGTATCAATGGCACTTTCTTGTCACACAAAACTCTAGATGCATGCCTCCATTTCATCCAGCCTGCCCCTATACGGTGAGTGACGTCCTCGTCGATCTCTCCGTCCCCCTGGATCATCGACCCAAAATACAACTTTCTCTCTCGGGGATGACCTGTGATCCAAGCCTCACGTCCCTGCCTACTTCTCTCGACTCAGTGCTAAACTTGCACTCCAAGTACTCTGTCTTAGACCTGCTCAATTTGAAACCCTTAGACTCGAGGGTCTGTCTCCAAACCTCCAATCTCTCGTTAACACCGACGCTCGTCTCATCAATTAGAACTATGTCATCAGCAAATAACATACACCATGACACATCCCCTTGAATATGGTGTGTCAATGCATCCATCACCAAGACAAATAAGAACGGGCTAAGCGCAGAGCCTTGGTGTAATCCCATAACAACCGGGAAATGCTCCGAGTCGCCTCCCACAGTCCTAACCTTAGTCTTAGCTCCATCATACATGTCCTTGATTGCTCTTATGTAGTCTAACGACACGCCCTTTGCCTCAAGACATCTCCAGAGCACCTCCCTAGGGACTTTGTCATACGCTTTCTCCAGGTTAATAAACACCATGTGCAGATCCTTCTTCTTATCCCTGTACTGTTCCACCAACCTCCTAATAAAGTGGATAACTTCCATAGTGGAGCGACCCAGCATGAACCCAAACTGATTGTCGGATATAGACGTCGTCTTCCTCACCCTCACCTTCACCACCCTCTCCTAGACTTTCATGGTATGGCTAAGTAACTTGATATCCCTATAATTGTTACAACACTGGATATCACCTTTGTTCTTGTACAACGGTACTACTGTACTCGACCTCCACTCCTCCGGCATCCTCTTCGTCCTAAAAATTACATTAAACAACCTAGTCAACCACTCCAATCCTGCTCTACCCACACTTCTAAAACTCAATCGAGATTTCATCTATCCTGGTCGCTCTACCCCTACTCATCTTACGCAAAGCCCTCACGACCTCCTCCACCTTAATGCGCCTGCAATACCTAAAATCTCGGAGATTCTCCGAATGCCCCAAGTCCCCTAGCGTGATATCCCCGTCCCCCTCCTCGTTCAGAAGTCCATAGAAGTACGTCTGCCATCTCTGCTTATTCTGGGACTCTCCCATCAATACTCTACCATCCTCGTCTTTGATGCACCTTACTTGGTCCAGATCCCGGGCCTTCCTCTCCCTCGCTTTAGCCAGCCGAAACAACTTCCTGTCCCCGCCTTTCTCCCCCAATTCCTCGTATAGGCGGCCAAACGCTGCATTCTTAGCCTCCGTGACCGCCAACTTTGCCTCCTTCCTTGCCACCTTGTACCTCTCTCTATTCGCTCTCCTCTCCTCCTCGCTTGTGCTTCCTGCCAACTTCGTGTACGCTACCTTCTTCGCCTCCACTTTACCTTGGACTACGTCATTCCACTACCAGTCGCCTTGGTGCCTGCCAGAAAAACCCTTCGATATCCCTAGCACACCTCTCTTGCCGCCTCCCTCGCATAGTTCGCCATCGTTGACCACATAGTGCTCGCGTCTCCAAGCTCCCATAGCGGATAACCTCCCATCCAACTCCTGGGCATTATCCTTGGTTAAAGCTCCCCATCTAATCCTCGGTCGGCCATGAGCATACCTCTTCTTCCTCTTCATCATAATGCCGACGTCCATCACTAAGAGCCTATGCTGAGTCGCGAGGGTCTCTCTTGGGATAACCTTACAATCCTTGCACAAACCTCTATCACACCTTCTGAGGAGAAGGTAATCAATCTGAGTCTTCACCGCCGAACTTTGGAAAGTAACCAGATGCTCCTCCCTCTTCGGAAAAGTCAAGTTCGCAATCACCATCTCGAAAGCCTTGGCGAAGTCTAACAGCGAAGTACCTCCTCCGTTTATAACCCCAAGGCCAAAGCCGCCATGCACCTCGCCATAACTACCAGCAGCTGACCCAATATGGCCATTAAAATCCCCTCCAATAAATAACCTTTTAGTAGGTGGAATACTGCGCACAATCTCGTCCAAACCCTCCCAAAAGTGCCTCTTAACCTCCTCATCCAAGCCCGCTTGCGGCGCGTAAGCGCAAACCTCATTGAGGTTGCACTCACCAGTCACCAACTTAATAAACATTAGCCTATTATTCACTCGCCTAACCTCCACCACCAAACTCTCTAGGATCCCTATCCATCAAGATACCCATTCCATTCTTACCCCCCACGACTCCAGATGATAAGGCATGTTACCATTCGGTTATTTTGCTGTGATGAGGTTTTGGTTTAGCAAAAGGCTTCATGGGTACGTAGTGTGGAGCGGCGAGGGTGAAGAAAAGGAAATACATTTAGAGTAGTGGAACAGACTTTACAACATTTAATTATGAGTAGTAAACGGATGGTTTTAGTGGTGGAAGTTAGAAGGGCAAAAATTAACGCTCAATAAATAGTAGAAGATGTAAAAATTCTTAATTACCTTGCATTCTTAATTGTACTTATTCATTTAATAGATTTTTTTTTTGAAGAAGGCCAAAATAGCCAATTAAAATTTTATGGGTATTTTCGTAAATTAACTTCACACTAAGGGGCTTCCCACTTATAATATAGTATGATGATATGATGATTATTAGTAGGAACAAAGTTAAACTTAAGTAACCAGATGTAGATCACCTTTACATCTTTCCTTGAGCAATTTTGGCTCTTGCAATATTCAGAAAGATGGCTACTGACAAGTTGCATCAAATAAATGCCATGACCAGTGAACATCTAACAATCATTGCAGGAGCTGCCTGAAGTTATCTCATCTTTCCTGTGACAAGGAGTAACTTCACCAAAAATTAATATGCAAGCGATACAAAATAGTATCATATAAAGAAATAAAGTTCATACGTCAATGTGATGGATCCATCCAAAGAAATTATTTTGAAGTACAAACACAACTTGAAAAAGTAAAATGTCTTCAACTTTCCCAGCTTCCATCTAGCTGGAGATGTTATTGTGCATAATGAGAACAAGGGAAACAGCTTAAAAGAATCACTGTTTTTCACCTTTGCACAGCAAAAAATAATTCTCAGGTATGTTTTACTTAGACTTAAAAGGTTAAGTGAACAAGCTCAGGAGTCACTACCTGTTGAACCAGTGTTGCAGCTTCAGTATGCACGTCAAGCAGACGAATCTAAGGGATAAACAACGACTTCGATCTGCTGTCCATTTTCTTCTAGCACTTCCTCAAATCTCTTCATTGATTTTTCAAGAGAATCACTGCATGGTTTCACTTCAATCCTCTTTAGGTTTGCAGTGTCTCCAATAGCAGGAGGAATTTCTTGAAGATGAAAGCATCTTTCGACCAGAAGTCTTGGGCAAGCTGGATTCCAAGATCATACCATTCACATTGTGTGATTCAAGTTGAAGAGCATCTAATTTGAGTTGGAGAGGTCCTTTACAGTGGCACTTGAGCTTTCGCAGTCTGGTTGCCTTCTTTATCATGTAGTCTGCTAGCTTGTCAGTGAGAGACACTGTGGCCAAGGTTTCTATGCAACATATGTTTGTTTTTGTGAGGAATGCGTCCATCAAATGACGCAACAGGTTGTACATGCACATGTTTTAACCTTGGTATTGTACCACTGCCTACAGTTATTACTAGCAAAACCTCAAGGTTTGAAAGGTTTGATATCCAAGATGGCATAGACTCCACAAATCCTTTGATTCCAAAGAACTTCAAATGAATTAGCTGTTTTAATCTCAGGAATGGACTGTCTGACACAAGACATTCCATATATAAAACTCTTATGAGTTTAAAGTTCTCGAGATCAAGAAACTCTTGGCAACCATATTGGGGGGGTCTGAAGAATGCGGAACGAGCTTGCACAGCCTCCGGTGCTCATAAAAGGAACTAGTCTAATCTTTGTTCTAACTACTTGTTATCTGCATAAACTTCTCTTCCTTAGCTTTTGCTCCACAAAAATCGTGCGACATATCATGAATGTGACATGTTCTGATTCCTCCGGCGGACCCCTTCTTGCTCACCATTATTAAGCTTCTACCGATGAGATCATTCAGTAAACTTTCTGCAACAAACTCTGAACTTTTTTCCTCTATGTTCTGCACCAATCCCTCAATAGTCCATAACCACGCCAAGTTTGAGAATGGAAGTTTGAACTGTTTATATTATCTGAATTTAGAAATGACTAAAGCTCTATCCCTTTCTGATCAATTTTCGTGGTAAGTTTCTATAAGATATGTTGAGCAAGGAATCCAGCCAGAGCCATCACTATTGTTTTCTGATAGAATATAAGGGTTCACCAAACTTTATAGAGAACCAGATTCTCTATCAGTTCCACGAGAACACACACACACATTAGTAAGTAAATGACACGAAGAATTTTACGTGGAAAATTCTCAGCTCAACGGGATTAAAAACCACGACCTACCCTTGTAGGATTTCAACTTCACTACTAAGCAACTTTTAGATTACAACCTATGCAACCTAGTAATTAACCTCTTAATCCCTTACTAATTGGTAACACACCTATTGCAAGCCACTTTGTAATACCTCTATTGCAAAGACTTCACAACTCGACTAACTCTAGCCAAGGCTCGTACACACAGGTTGAAGGTTTACAAAGGGTTTCCTACACACTGCTTCTATGTAAGCTAAGTAGGAGTTACAAGTAAGAGCATTAACAAAGTTACAACTCACTAAGGACGTACAATAACTTGATGTAGGAACTGGTCTGTAGTTGTTTTGTTCTTTGTTCTTGAAGCACTTGAGATTTTCTTGCTGGATGATCACGTGAAAGAGCTTGAGTAAAGTCTCTAAGTGTTTGAGTTGTTTTTACCTTCCTTGATGTTAATAATACATGTGTGACATCACTTACAATGATGTAAGCAATGTAGGTAAAAAGTCTTCCACATAAAGTTACTGTTGCACTGTTCCAATACTGTAGCCTGTGCAGGCAACAACTTTTCCAGCTAGAGAGTTGACTTTCGTACAGTCACCTCGGGATCTGGTGAATGTGTAACAGGTTCTTTATCTGGTTCTGGATAGTAAGTTTATTAGATCCTCAAAACATAAAACAAGGTACTTATGACCAAGGTACTTGTAGCCTATCATTTCTCTGTTCCGTCGCCATACCTACTGCAGTGCTATCATCCTCTATCCTTCTCAAGAAGCTGCTAAATGAAAAGCGCTCGTGCACTTGGCCTCGGCTTCCTTTGTTCGCTCAGTCCAATATCAGTTCTAATCCTCATGTTCAATGCAGAAAATTAATTTGGTCTAGCATGAATTAGTCAGTGCAATCTTACAAAACTTGCAAGATTTACGTTATTGTAAATTTTACAAAACTTCTCAATAGGCAGCAAGTTGACCCTTCTACAAGGTGTTTCTTTGTTGGATACATTTATTGGTTTTGCAATCAATTATCCAACACTAACTCAAAACCTGCAAACTCCTGTGTTGGTAATCTCATGGATTAATACCTTAGCTTTCTGATCTTGGATGTTTATCAATTTTCTCGGCTTGCAGGCCAGACACAATTTTCTAGTCCCAACTAAGAATTGTTCCGTGTTTCGCAGAGGTACTTTGAAACTAGAACCAGCCGTTATTGTAAATAACCGATAAGCTTTAAATGCTAAAAAGTATTTTTAAGTGTTGAAAAATTTATCAATAAATAGTTATGTGTATGGATAGAAGAGCTAAAACTAATTATATACATTCTTTGGTTAAAAAAAAAGTATTGATAAGTTGTTACTTATGCTATGTCGGATGGCCTTAACACAACCATAGTGTAGTTTACTCTTAATTTGAGTTACTAATTCTCTAGACAATTATTTGTAACAGAATATAATGACAGATATACTACCACAATGGGGAAAATATATAATAATAATTTTAACAAAAGAGAGATAAGATTCTTCTACGGTGCTAAAGTAATCACCCCACAAACAGCTCCTTTTTAATCAAGAAATGAAAAGTGAGCTTAGTTGCTCCATAATATGTTAATTGGCCTTAATATCCCATTGTCATATGGTGAGAAACATGATCGCATTATTCATAAAAAATATAGATTGTGTATGTGTCAAAGTAATGGCATGTAACGTTTTTTTGTATTTAAATTTACTTTTTCTTTAATCATGGGGCATTTGCATCTATACCTGCTTTTTGTGTTACGTTTTAACTTGTGCCCGCTTTGTAAAAAAAATTGCAAGCGTACCCGCTTTTTCGCATAACTTCAGCATACGGGGCTGAAGTAGCAAAGGCAATCATGCAAAACTTCAGCATTTTAGTAGACGGGCTTGAAGTAGCAAGTGTGCTAAAATTTTTGTTTTGTAACTGGCGAACTTCAGCTCTAGAACTGAAGTTTTTGTTTTGTAACTGGCGAAGAGCTGAAGTTATTTAGTTCATTTGTAAAAACTTCAGCACTATTTATGTTTGTTTGGGATCTTGGTCATCTGTATTTTGTTTGTGAAAGCAAAACTCATAGATAGCAAAATAACTTACTGCTAAAAAACCCCGTTAATCTATTGTCTTAAAACGCTACAAACTGTCGTATTGATTTTTTACTTTTAAATCAAACATAGTCTGTCTATAAAGCGATGAAATGGAACACATACTATTGTGCCTACACATTTACAAAGTGCTTTTATGAAATGATTGCTACAGACCACACAACCTTATTTGAGGTACTCATTTCTGAAAAGTCGACAAGAAAAACTGCTAGAAATAATGGCCAATGCACTCATATACACAGCCTGTATTTCTATGAAAGAAACCACAATTTCGTTTGATTAATTGGATAAAAGAAACTAAGTGATTTTATCTCACTGAAGCAGTTGTGATTTTCCATTTCCTTTGCTTGAAAACAAAGGAGGAGTAAGAGGGCTGAAGTTATTTTAAAAGTGGGTACAAGTTAAAAGTTTAAAAAAAAAATGGGTATAGGTTAAATGTGAGCGACCAAATAGGGCGCTCCGTGCAATTTTTAGTTTAATCATTGACAATTGGTGGGCCAAATCTACGGAAAAGGCCTAAAAATGCCATTCAACTTTCAAAATGGTCTATCCATGCTATCCGTTAAAAAAATGTTCATTTTATGCTATTGTCGTTACACATTTGGCTCATCCATGCCATTATTGACTAACGACTCAATTTTTATTTTTTAAATATTTATAACACCCACATTTCCACGTGTCCTGTTGTTATTGGTCTGAATTAACCCATGCCCCACTTAATTTTAACCTTGGTTAGGTCCACCTACTCAAATCCGACCCGGTTAAAACATACCCATTCAATAACCCAACCCAAACTCTTCATACCAAATCTGCTTCTCTCCGGTCGTCTTCCCCGCTTAGCTCAAGGTGCTGGCAAAGAAGTAATTCGGAGAAGAAAGAAAAGATGTTTCCGCCGCCATTATCGTCCTTAAACCAAGATGTAAAGCCAAATTTCTTCATGCGTGCGGTGAGAAAAGATGAAAGGTTAGAGTTGACAGAGGTGAAAATTGGCCGGCCCGAAACTCTCCTTGCTTCCAACCAAGATGGACGGCTGAGATTATATCTCATTCGTGATGAAAAAGAAGAAACAGAAGAGGAAAACGAAGAATTCCCGTTTGACGATGAAGAAGAGGTGATTGAAACAATTCAAAAAGAAGAAGAAGAAGACAAGGTTGAAGAGTGGAAGTTTTCGCTGACAAGCGGTGGTAGTGGAGATGGTGTTCGGAGATGTTACGGTGGTCATCACCATCATCATCATAACAACCACCGCCATGATTTACATCTTGGGGAAAACGATTGGAGAGAAGTGGATTTGGTATGAAGGGTTTGAGTTGGGTTAATGATTCGGGTAAGTTTTAATCGGGTGGGTTTGGGTAGATGGACCTAACCGAGGTTAAAATTAAGTGGGGCATGGGTTAACTCGGACCAATAACGACATGACACGTGGAAGTATGTGTTATAAATATTAAAATAAAAATAAAAATTGAGTCGCTAGTCAATAATGACATGGATGGGCCAAATGTGTAACGTTGTGGCATGAAATGAGCATTTTTTTAACGGATGACATGAATAGACCATTTCTGAAAGTTGAATGGCATTTTTAGGCCTTTTCCGCCAAATCTATAATCAAACCTACTCCACTTATTTAAAGGGAATTGAATAAAAATAGATTTCCCCTATATTGACTGATTATGCATTTATGCTACTACTGATGGTTTAGATATATAGGGAAAGAGCTATTTTTGAAGAATATAAAATAATTGACAAATTGTTACAATTTTAGGGCACGATTTTGTTTTCTAAATTTAACAAGCTTATTATGCCAAAAAGTTTAGAGCTCTTGTTTCTTTTTTAAGAATATATATATATAGTAATCTATACAATATAAAATAAAAATAATACAGGGCAAAACAATGTACTAAGTTTTCGTTACGGGCGGGATCCGGAAAGGGGCGGACTATATGGGTCTATTCTTGAAGCCGCAACAGTCACGACCCATTTTCTGAACAAGTCGTGATGGGCACCCGATCGTTAAACTTGACCGAGCGAACCATCTACACTTATCAAATCTATTATAACTTCAAACTTTATATACAACAAGGCAATACTTTAACCAAATACTTTTAATTAATTTAAATATCTAAAATAAACCAACTCCAAAACTTTATCCATAGTAACAACTGAAATAATGCAAAGTTATTATCAAAAAACATCTGAATCTTAACCCACCGACTGTGTCTATGAAGCCTCTAATAATAAACTGACGCACTGCTCAGGACATGAGATTGTCTGGCTAGTTCTCCAAGTAAACAAAGATATAACTAAATAAAAATGACTCAAAGGAAATCCCACGAACAAAAGTGGAGTTCACCAATAACATTTGAAAATAGGGGAGTCCTAACCTGTAACCTGCTCACCTGCAAAACCGGTTCCTACGTTGTACCGCAAACCAACGTAGGTTCCCAAAAGAGAACGTCAGTACCATCCATTGTACTCAGTGTGTCTCAATGAACCCCTATTTAAGCATAGAATGATACTTAATAAAATATACACTACAAGCAAAGATTCTAAATGCATAGAAACATAAAGCTTCTAAAAACAATTCTAAAATAATTGTATAACAACAGTTTATGAATATTCTAAAAGAAATTCTTTTTTTTTTCTTTTTTATAAAAAAAAATTACTTCACTTTCTGCTTCAAGGGTTCCAACTATCCTAACTTATTTATGTCTTAGTCACCGTGTGATCGCCATTGGTTTGATCCCAACCTGATCAAATAGGCCCAATCCACGACTCGTTTCATGGTTCTCAGCGCTCATGTATCATACCTTAGCCTGACTAAGTAAATTCTCAGCAACGAGACCCTCGGCTTTTGTGCTCCCTATTTTGGCACAAATAGTTTCGGGAAGTCAACGCCTTGGGCAGGACCCTCAGCCTGGATGATGATCTCTTCTCAGAATAGAGGTTACTCCCAAATTTTTTTTTTCTAAGACTTCTTCTTGTGACTTTTCAAGTCTAAATCTTTTCTGGAACATTCTATACATACTCATACTAGTATCCTTAAATGCAAAGCATGACATAAGAATGAAATAAACATTCAAAAGTATTTCTAAAGATTTTTGCTTATGAATTTTCAACATGAAAATGGCATATATTGAGATTCTTCTCATCATGTGGAAGTGGATGAAGAGTGAGATATTTTTGTATTTACTAAATCTCATGACTTGATTCAGAGGCTCTTTCAAGGATCAATGTTGTGTTAACACATCTACATGTGCTAGCACCGGAGAATGAACAGGCATATCATGATGCTATTTTTGCACTTGGTCAGATATGTCAGTTTCATCGGGAAAGTATCGACTCCAGGCAGGTGCGCTTTTCTGGGAATCCCTAATGTTTTATTGTTCAGCTCATATATATATTGTTGTTGTACTTTACTACTAACTTCATTTCATGTATCAACAGTTTTGTACTTGTGATGACCAACTTTTTGTCTTACAAATTTTAAAATCGGAAAGACAGTATACCAGCCTGATAAATGACTGCAATAAACTAGGAATATATATTGATTTACAAGAATCTTCTATAATTCTTATTTAATCTTCTAGTGACTGGTTTTCATTCCAACTTAGTTTAATTATCCTGTAGCTGAGGGTATTTACTCAGCTTACGAAATGGAGAGTTTAGACACTTTTATGTATTAAAAGGAAACATATGGCACTTTTATGTATAACATGAATTGTCAGTACTTTTCATTGTTTTGAAGAAACTGGATTGCTAACATGGTGCTTGGTGTTTGGTACAACTGAATATTACTTTTGTTTACACCTTTTGTGCACATGTTCACCATATCAGGATTTTGGCAAAACATGCCGCTTTTGTTCTTCCAAGATTTCTCATTCCAAATTTTTTTGGTAGATTATTCCGGCTTGGTTGAATTGTCTGCCTGTAAGAGGTAACATGGTTGTTCACGACCAGCTCTGTTCAATGGTCGAAAGGTACAGTACTGGCCTAGTATGTTCTAGTTTTTATCACAGGAGAGGGGTCAAATATATCCATGTACTATCAAAAAAGGTTTAAAAATACCCTCCGTTATACTATTTGGTCATCTTAGACCCTATCATTATACTATCATTCAAATATACCCCTCAATTGGACGGACTGCCACGTGGCGCCTCAGGATTAAAGAGACCCATCTCTTTTTTTACCCAATCCACTTCTCCTCCACCCATAACCCGACCCAAGTCGGTTCTTTTTAAAAAACCCTAATGAGTGGAATCTAACTTCCATGAATATCTTCTCTACTTTTTCTCTTTTCTTTTTCATTTCCTTTACCTTTAATTTCTTCTATGTTTTTTTCTTACTCCTTACCTGTTATAACATAAACGATTGTGTATAGTCCATAGATTGATTTTGGGTTTTCATGGAATTAGAAAATTTTCTATCCATATATCTATTAACCACATCCAATGAGAGAGCAAAGTATTTTGGTTTTTGAAATCATGGCCTTACTGAAGAAGAAAATGCACCCATCTTCTCTGACATCTCATGTTTTTGGCATGAAGCTTGGGCAAAAATTTGAACCAAACATAAATAGATTTCCAAGAACAAGAAGACTCGGATTCGATTACCAAAATTTTAAGGCTCAAGTTTGCATTTTATCGGAGAAGTAGAAGGCAACCACGTCATGCCTGCAAAATTACTTGTGGATTGTCTCTATCTTAACTTTGTCAGCATAGAAATTGAAAATTATCACTGCCTCTATATATTACTCAAAGAGAGGAAAACGAAATGTGCCAAAAACACATAGACGCAAGTTTATGGCTTAAGTTGTGGATCGGAAACATATGAAGATTAATGCCTATTTTTACATGGACATTGTGACCTATTCAAAGTATTTCGCAAACAAGGGTTGTTGGTTTGGCTGCTAAGGAAAATCATTAAAGTGAAATGAGGGGTTCAATTGGATAGGGGTGTTTTTTAAGTGGATGGGTACGGGTCTAATTAGGGTCGAATTAGTATTGAACCGGGTAACTTAATTTGGGGTGGGTCTCTTTAATTCTCAGGTGCCATGTGGCAGTCCGTCCAATTGAGGGGTATATTTGAATGATAGTATAACAGTAGGGGCTAAGATGACCAAATAGTATAACCGAGCTTATTTTTAAACCTTTTTTAATAGTACAGGGATATATTTGACCCTTTTCCGTTTTGTCATCATATGCTTTTTACTTTACTTTTCAGGTCTTCTTTTTGTTAAGGCGACTGATTGCCAAGGCAACTTACAAGATTATTAATGACAACCTATCTTTACTAATTTCAAATATTCAATTGTTTTGGGTTTTTGTCAACACATTTGTTGGCCAACTAGCTTTCAGCAATTGTTTCACATTACTCCCAGCATTTTGGTGCATCAATTGTAAAACTAGAAGAAGAAAAAAAGAACCACAAAATAGCAACATATGATTTAAAATATTTTCAATAGATAAAAGTATGAGTGTTCTTATAATAACATGCATGATGCATATGTTCCACATAAATTTCCTAATTTCAGTTATATATTAGGAAAATTACGCGACCATTAGCCAAACAAAATGCTTGAAGTAATATTATAGTATTGTGTCTATTTTCAAAGTTATGGTGCAACTAGAAAATATCTGTTACATTTAGTTTAACAGAAGTTGGTTAGCAGTTGCAATCTTGAATCTTGACAGAAGGCTTTTCTACTAAATTAAAAGATTATCATGTTCTTTCTAATGTTAGATGAATTATTAAACTATAATCTTTGTAGCATTTGTCGGGTTGACTTGATCATCTTATTGTTGGTTGTTACTATGATTTGTCTATTTTTCCATTCAAACAAATTGAACACTAGCTGAAGTTTGTAAACCCTAATATGTTGTCTCTTAAATCAATTTTTCTCTAGCCTTTAACATTTTAGCAACTTTTCTCGCTTTGCAGGTCACACAGAGAACTTTTGGGTCCCAAATATGAGCACTTTCCAAAAATTTTGACAGTTTTTGCAGAGGTTATTTCGATATCAGAACCTATAGATGCCAGATTGAGTTGTTCATTTGTTCCTGATATAAATATTCTCAACATTAAGAGAAGTAATACAAAATCTTATTTAGTAATTTCCGTTGTATGTTAGTAATTTGTCTATCAGATCTATACCACTTACAGCACATACAAAACGAATTTCTGATACGAAATAGCACAAACATTAATCAGAGAAGTAGATAGGTAAAATAGTGTCAATTTGTTGAATAATTTGCAAAGATCTTATGTCAAATAAGCTTTGCTTTTTTCTAGGTTCTATGTGCT